AACCACAGTGCTTGCACCCCCATGTGCCAAAAAACCCGGTTTTCCCAGCACCTCCTCCTGCCCTACTCTTCAGCATTAACTGGGGTGTGGTGGGAGAAGGGATATCCCACATCAGGCCTCCCACTCTTTGCGGCCAGAGAAACGGATCCTAGCGCCCAGTTTCCAGGACCTGCAATCTGGGGTGTTCCAATCAGGTGCACTGATGGGCTGCTCCTGCAGCTCAGTGGGGTGGAGACAGGGAGGGACCTCCAGGTTACAAGAATGGGACAGGCTGACCTTCTGAAAGTGCAGCGGTAGGGGCTGTTCCAAGTCTCCTGCTTTGTTCCCTAACATGGAGACCCTGACCTCAGGAACTAGTGAGGGTTGGTCACACAGCCTTTCTGGACAGCACTCAGACCCCAACACTAGCCTTAATTTGCACCCAGACCAGCTCCTCCCCATCGTCCCAACACGGCTGCTCCCACTCCACACAAGCCCAGAGGGCTTCTACCTGCAGTAGTGCTGGAGAAAAGCCCACCAGCCGGCAGGTCATCCATCCCCAAAAGAATGATGTATACACCCCATCCCCCAACACTGCTGGGACAATCTTTTGCCACTTCCATCTCCACAGGGTGAGAGGTGAGAAATTCCACTTTAAATTACTGACATAGAATGAAAAGCACTATTTTGGGTGGGATGACGCTTTTGATGGGATGTTAGCACCCTAATTCTTTTTGGGGGTCTCCCTCCAGCAAACAAAGCTCTTTCCTCCAGGTCATGGGAAGGAAAGACCACAGAAAGGGGGCTCAGCAGTCTTATCTATGCCACCCCCATTCTGGGTTCTGAGGCTGCTGGCTGCAGCTGGTGGGACAAAGCCTTGGACAGACGGGTGGGGATGCGTCCTGGGACGCAGACTGGTCAGCACAGACTGACTCTGCCACCCCCTTCTCCAGATGGCTCTATTAGACTACCCTGTCTCAGATTGTCTGAGTGTTCACCCCCACCCCTCTTTTGGGTGAAGGGTGAAGGGTAGCTCTGAGGCTCTAGGCTGAGGATGGAGAGGTTGTATCACAGACCATGGCTGGGGGGATATGAGGTGCCACCTGTTTCCAAGGATGAAGCTCCAAGCAAGGCTAGTAAACAACCTAGTCTTTTATTTGCACAAGGCCGGCTGTTGCAAGCACTGAGGCCCCAAGACTTCCAGAAGGGAAGGGGAGGGGGAGCAAACCACTCTGCCTACCAGGTGCTGCCTGCCCCCTCCTGCTTCCTGCAGGAGGTGGGGAGAGAAAATGGACATCTGCACCATCAGGTATCTCCCCAGTTTTCAGCCACTATAAATATTCAGTTGTAGAGGAGGAAACTGAGGCACACAGATCCCCCCCAGGCTTCTACTTGCTACTCCAAGGTTTAACTTACTCCCTCCCCTCATCTCTACCCCCAGCAGAATGAGCTGTAAGCAGCCTGGGGAGGGTCTCAGGAGCCCATCTGGTGGCCTGTGGAGGGGGGTAGGCCAGCCAGGGTCAAGGGCTAGGGGTGGGGGGAGCAGAAGGAGGGGTGTGGCTGGAGGAGCAGCTGCTGGCTCGGGGGAGTCAGCACTGAATAGGGGACCCCAGCTGGGGTTCCATACTGATAGCAGTGGGGGACAGGCAGAGCCCTCAGCTGTCCAGACAGGGAAATTGAGGCTGAGAAGCCTCCAATCTTTGGGTAGGGAGGGGCCTTCCTTCAGCTACTCAGGTCCATTCATCTTCCCCATGAAGATGCTGGCTCTGGGGCTGGAGCACCTTGTCAGCGGCCACTCCATGTTTAGACTGAGGTACAAGGAGTGGAAGGCAGCCAGGTCACCTGGCCACAGAGCCTCCTTCCACTCTTGACAAACCAGAGGGGCACCCTCCCCCATCACAGCTGCTGGAAAAGGGAGTGCTGGGCTCTGGTGCCTGTCTGCCTTCCCCTGCTCACGTGCTTGAGAAAGGCTCATTTTTAGCACCTGGCCTCTTTTCCCTGCCTGGAGGGAGCTTGGGGGACAGAGCAGGGAAGAAGACAGGCAAGGGGGACAGGGAGACCTGGAAGCAGGGCCCAAGGGGATGTCTGATTGCTTCGTTCTCCGCTCTAAGGGTGCCCAGGCCCAGAGAAGGGCCCTCAGCCGCCGTGCAGAGTGGAGATGAAGAGGACGCTGTCCTGGTCCTGAAGCTGATAGTCCAGCTCACCCTGGTGCGGGACAGAGGGGAGTGGGAGACCCTCAGGGCTACCTTCCCGGTTCCACCCCAGGAGTTGGGAGAGCAGGGGCTGAGGACTGGCTGCTCTGGAAGAGACAGACTGTACCAGAAAAATGGGTATCCTACACCTCAACCTGCAAATCTTCAGGATGGAGGGCTGCTCCCGCGTCCCCAGCTACCCATCCCTTCCTCACCGGGAGTGAGAGACTCCAGCAGCCTCAGCGTGGGGCTGGAGTGGGGCGGAGGATCACCCAGCCACTCTATATGTGCCTGAGAGAGGCCCAAGGCTTTCCCACTGAAGCAGCAAGGGCAAGGGCTGGGGGAGGGATGTCACCCGAGGTACTGACCAGTAGCTCCCAGTCGGCATCGTTAATCAGCACCAGAATTCCTGGCCGCCTGTGGGAAAGATAGTGGTGAGTAGCAGGGAGTGAGAAGCAGGAGGCAGTAGCACAGAGGAAGAGAGGCTGAGAGCTTTGGGCTGCACGAGAGCAGGAGAGTGTGCTGGGGAGCCTTCCTCCTGGGGTCTGGCTAAAGATCTCCCAGGAAGGGGAGGCTGGTCTGAGTGTGAAGGAAACCAGGTCAGACAGTCATGCATGGTCTTTGTAGCCAGATGGAAAATGGGTGCAAATGCCAGCCAGCACCACCACCCAGACCGTGGGCAGGTCATTTTGTTTCTGAGTATCAGGTTCCTCATCTGAAAATGGGATAAGTGATAGTGTCTGTCCCACAAGGCCTACACGAAAACGAAATCAGCTGGTATGTGTGGAGTTCTTGCCACACTGTCACGGTAATCATTAGTGGGACTTTTCCAGGGGTCTAACCTTACTCTCATTAGCCCTGGAAAAGAACTTCGGCTTTTTTTAGGCCTCTGCATGCCCATCCTGGAGAGGAGGCTGTTTTGCCTCTTCCGAATCAGTTGCCGTGCCACATGGCAATGTTCATGTGCAGTCCTGCCTGGCATAAGGCAGCGTAGGTCAGCATTTGGTCAGGCCACTTAGCCTGGCTCCCACTGGTAATGGCCCAAGGAGCGCTGCTGGCCTTAGAGGTGGCCTCCAGGACCACTGGACCATGACCTGAAGGAGGGCTGATCCCCTAGGACCTCACAGTGACCTATGCTTCGAGGCAAATAAGCGAGCCTCACAACTGCACCGGCCACCTTTCACAAGGGGGACTGGCCTTGTTTTAGAAGTAACTTCTTGGCAACTGGAACCTGGTCCTTTCCAAGGAGACTGCTCTGGGCTTCTACGGGGTGTCCCCAGTGAGTGTGTGTGCATGTGCAAGGGTGTGTGCATGCACAGAGTCAGTGACTCCTTGGAATTCTAGACCTGTGCTGCACCGTATGGTAATCTACTAGCCACATGTGGCTATTTAAATTACAATGAAATAAAATACAATATTTAGCTCTTCAGTTGTACTAGCTACATTTTTTTCCTCAGCACTTTCTGTGTAGAGAGTAACTGAGGCCCAGAGAAGTCAAGTAAGTCGTCTAAGGTCCCACAGCAAGTCTGTGGCAACCAGAGGGCAGAATCCAAGTGTTCTGAGAAATTCACCAGGCTCCTTTCATCTGGGATTTTAAAAATCCTCAAGAGTTTGGTTTTAGGAACAAGAAAACTGAAAACAGATCTCAGACTATTTTCTGGAGGAGTCAAGGAGGAGGAAGGGGAGAACCGGATTCAGAGAAGGCCAGGACTGAACCCGAGGGTGGGGGCTCAGATATCCGTCCCTCCCTCCACCCTCTTCAGGGAAGGGAGGAATGGGACTCACACGCTGTCTCCCTGGATGAATAACTCTGGCCGCTCTTTTAGCAAATTCTTCTTGATCCAGACGAGCAGGTTCCGGATGTCCCCTGGAGAGGAATGCACAGAACAAACTCTTGTCAAACTCAAATGACACCTGTCCCCCCAGAGCCTTGCCTGGCCCAGAAGGAAATACACATGGGGTTTAGAGGGCTTTTTTTAGACCAGGCTGTGATGGCCCATGAACTTGTACATTCCAAAGGTCAGGAAACAGGTTAGGACAGGCCGGTGACTTGCCAGGTGGATCTTCAGAGACAGCTGCACATGGCGCTGCTGAAGTCCTGGAGAAGAGGCAATGGGATTTACCTATAGTGGAGGGATTCCAGGCAGATGGCGGGAGGACTGTCGCATCTAAAGGGTTAGGAGACAAGCCCCTAACCACGAGTCCTGGAAGCCAGTCTCCAACTGCCATGGCTGGACTTCTGAGAGGACTCTGAAGAGCCCCCTCCACCTTTCTCTCTCCAGCCAGTCCCAGATGGGAAGGCTTCGGCTTTGCTCTTGGAGGGGGCTGCATGTATTTCCCTTTGTGAGGGGAAAAAAACAATTGCTGAGCTGATAACATCAGTTAATTTCCTCCGGCAGAGAGAGAGAAGGATCATTCACCAGCCAGGGATGCTGACAAATCCCCGCTCTACTCCCCTGCCACCACCCCACGCTTCCAGAGCCCTCCACGCCAGCGGTGGCCAGAGATTCGGGTGACAGGGCCTCTCCTGCTCAGCTAACACTGAGATCTGCCTCCTTGTGGTTCTAGGAGAGCCACCAGTCTCTCTGTATGTCATGTGGAGGCTCAGAGTCACCTGTCTCCAGGGTCACCTCTCCTTTCCTAGGGGCAGCAGTATCGAGCCACAGCACACAGGAATGTGGTTCTATAAACACCTCGAAGCCTATGGTCCTCAACTGTCTGCCCCTGAAACAGGGCCATTCTCCTGAGGCTGCGGAGTTTCTTCTCATTCCCTTAGACAACTTGAGGATAAAGGTCCTAGGGAGACAACTTGCTTCTGGGAAGCCAGCAGAGGGGTTGGGGTTAACCACCCCCATCCTGAGTCAGTGTCCAGAGGGGTCTGCTGTCCTGGACTAATGCCTGAGATAAAGCTCAGGGCTAAGCTGGAGAAGGCCCAGGTGGGGCCTTGGTGTTCCTGCCTGGAGTCCAGAGTCCTGGAGTGTAGGCAAGGGAGAGGCTGCTAGGACTCAGGGAGACTTTGCCTTGCCCCGTCCGGGCCCGCAGCGTGGCGCACACACACACAGCCCCAGCCTTGGGCAGGGAGTTAAGGCACACTGGCTGGCACGCGTGCCACCCTCGCTCTGACAGGCCTGCAGCCTGGATGGTCCACTTTGCTCAGTGCCAACTTGCCTGGCTCGTATGCCAGCAGAGCACAGGGCCACGGGCAAAGTGTCCATGGACTGAGACTGCCGCCTTTCCATTTTAATGTCTCCTTTTAAACAAAGCAGACCGGAGTCTTCATGGTCCCTGGAGCAGGCATGGGATGGGGAGAAGGCTGCCTCCAACGAGCTGCAGCCCACTTGGACTCCTGGCTGGGTTCCTCCCTGAGATCTGGGTTTCAGAGGTTTCCCCTTGGCTCTGAATCCCCTTGGCCTCCATCTTGGCACTGTCTGGTGGGCCGCCAACCCATACATCTTGTGGCCGCTCGATAGAGCCACCGGGGTCTGACACATCCATCAGCCAGCCCTGGCGGGCGGGGGTGTGCCTGTGTGTGTGGAGACGGCGAGAGGGTCTAGGCAGTGCCTGGCCTGCGTGGAACCCGGACTCAATTAGGAGACAGTCCTGGCTCCCTCCAAAGGGAAGGTGCTTCTGCTCCACTCTGGATAGGCCTGGGGGTGGGGGAAGGGCTAGTGGTCATGGTGGGGTCATCCGAACGATGGCACCAGCATGGAGTCCCAGAGGGATGAGCTGGGGGATGAGTCTGCTGCCCGGTGCTGGCTCATTTATCATGATGCTCCTATTTGCTGAGGTCACTCCCTCCCTCTTCTGCCCACCCCCCACCCAGGCCTGCCCACATTTTTGATAGCCTGTTACCATGGTGAGGCTACCGCATCACCACCCGTATTGTTCCCCCATGCCTGGATTTGGGGGTGGGGAGAGGGGGAACTCATGGCTCCCTTCGCAGGATGCAAGGGCCACTCGGCCTGGCCTGAAACACACCCCCAGGGACATCTTGCTAGGCTTGCTGAGGCACAGACAATATGCAAATAGCCTCCAAGCCAGATGGTCGGCTTCCAAAGGCGCCCAGGGGAGGAGGAAGGGTTAAGCAGAGTCAGGGGCTGGTGGCTTGGGGATGGATGACTCTGGGATAGATGGGGGCTGGAGACTCTCACTTTCACCTTCACACTCTGTGTCCTCTTGTCTTCCCTCTCCTACTAGGGGCGGTCTCCCTCCTGGAATCCCATGTGATCACTCAGGAGACAAATATTTATTGAGCAGCTACTATGTGCAAGCTGCTAGGGAGATGGTAGTGGGCAAGAAGGACACAGAGCTCCCTACCCTCATGGAGCTAGAGGCCAGCAGGGGAGACAGACCATATTAATTAGTTGTGACACATGCTATCTCCTTCATCTGGGATCAGGAAAGGCCTGGCTGAGGATGTTAAACAGTGAAGCTCAGGTCTGAAGGATGAGTGGGGTGGGGAGCATTCTGGGCAGAAGGGTAACACATGGGAAGGCTGGGGCAGGATGGAATGGGCAGGTTGAAGGTAGCAGAACAGAGAAGGTAAGAAGCTCAGCAGGAGATGGGGCCAGGCCTTGAGAACGGGCCTGCTCTCGTAGGGGCCTCTCCCTCTTAGTGAACCTCGGCGGTATCTCCTAGGTATGTGCTTCCTGGGAACCAGGACCCACTGCTCAGGCCTGTGCTTCCATGTGTCTCTGATGTGACACTCGAATCACAATCCAGCTCAAACGTATGGCACTACCATTACCATTACTTGAGTGGACAACTGGGGAGGTAGGGAGGGAAGGCGGGAGGGAGAAAGAGATTAAAACCACGGACCCTGGAGTCAGACAGGCCTGGTTCTGAGCTGGACTCCATCACTTCCTAGTTCTATGACCTTGGGTAAGGAATTCTTGGAGCCTCAGCTTCCTTTTTTTGTAAAATGGCCTCAGCTTCCTTTTTTTGTAAAATGGGGATGTTAACATTGTCTCATAGGGTCATTGTGGGGGATAAAATAAGACGATATATAGAAATCTCTCAGCACTGTAACCTGCATATCAATGCTGTAATTACTCCAGGATCCAGAGGAAGAACCTATACCCCTCGCACTCTCTGGGTTTCTGCACACTCTGCCCAGTGGTCTGGCACCCCAGCTTTAGAGGGCAGGGCAGAACCAACCATGAATCAGATAGTGCTGGGACTGGCTGGGGTTTTCTGTGGCATCCAGTGTCTTCCCATCAGAAGCTGGAAAGGGAATAAGGGGACTGGGAGAGTAGTGAGGGGTCCTAGATACTGACCTTCCTTCTATTTTAGATGTTTGAACCCACAAGATGTTGGGGTTGGCTAATGCTCCCAGGACAACCCAGGTGGAAGTAATGACACTCTGAGGCTAGAGGTGCTGGCAGCCAGGCTGCCCCGGGCACACGGCACCAGAGGAGGGAGACGGGCACCTAACACAAGGTTTCCAGTGCAGGATGCCTTGGCAACTGGCCTGCCCATCGGAGACAGAGCAGGTGATGAGAGCTGCTGCTCTATGATGGAGTGGTTGAGTTCTGAGTCTACAGCCAGAGGACCTGCGCTGTGTGCTCAACGGCCTTGGCTGGGAAATCACTTCACCTTGCTGCCTCAGGGTCATCTTCTGACAAGCAGGGATAATAATCCAAATGCCAAGAGCTGCTGAGGATTACGTAAGGCACAACGCCCATGGCAGGCCTGGCAGTGTCACCTACACAGGACACGCTCAACAGATGGCTGCTCTGAGCTGTAAGCCCACAGTGACTTCAGATTCCTCATCCTCTGGGCTCCAGTACCTTCTAAAGGCTGCTGCCAAAGGGAGGATACCCATTGTGGAGAGCACCGACTCAAGCTCCACCAGAATCCCTCGCCCCAGTGGACTTGTCCTACTCTGGGGGACACTGACTGCCCACTGTGGGAAAGCCCCAAAAGGTGTCAGCCTCAGCCTCGCGGGACTGAAAGGGAACAACCTCAAAGTCGTCTCTGATACTGACCCTCATCCAGCGTGTAACAGACCCTCGTCCAGCCTCTCTTTGAACACCTCCAGGGACAGGAGGTCAGCTCCTCTGTGCAGCGGCCCTGATTGTTAAGAGCTCTTTTCTCCCAAGCAGAAATCTGTCTTCCTGTCATTCCCACCCCCTGGGCCTGAATGGTCCACGGGGACCATGCCAACAAATGTACCCCCTCTTCCCCAGGATGGCCCTTCAGATATGGAAGAAAGGATCCCCTAAGTCTTCTCTTCCACAGGTTAAACTGCCTCTGTCCCCACCAAGTCCACCAGGCTCCAAGTCGAGCTCTTCGGGGAGCCCACCCCAGGCCTCAGTTGAAAAGGGAAAAGAAAGAGCTGGCAAGGGGGGAGTAACAGAGGAGAGGGGGTGGAGGGAACATCAGAGGGGCCATTTACAAGTGAATGGGGGTAAGAATGGAGCAGTTTGTGGGCTAAACTGGCCGCAGAAGGAGGTTTACAGATGTGCGAGGGGACCTCCTCATTGTTTAATTAAGCAGAAAGTGGATCTTTTCAAAAGCAATTTTGCACAGGGACTGGGAGGGGTGTGGGGAGGAGGGAGGTGGAGAGGGGATCAGCAAACAGGCCCTGAGAGCAGAGAAAGGAACAGCTGGCCCCAGAGAGGCTGTGAAATGCATGCTAAGCAGTTTAAAGCACCCAGGAGCTCCTGCAGCTCCTGCCCTCCCTCACCAGCCACCCTTTGACGCAAGTGGAACAGGCGGAGGGGGCACAATGGCAGGGCAGGGGAAGGAAGACAGGCAGGGAAAGGTGAGGCGGCCAAGTCTACTCTTGGGGCCTGGGCAGGGGGCCTTGGGTCAAAGGGATGTTTGAGTCATAGAGACCAACTCTCAGCAGCCGCAGTACCCTAAGCTGGTGGGTGCCTGGCTGGCCCGTTTCAGCAAGATGGCTGTTAAGACATCCCTCGTCTCACATAGCTTCTTACTGGGTCAGCACACTCTGCTTCACAGAATTGTGTATACTTGGATCTTGAAGAAACTCTTCTTATAGATGTCAAAGAGAACCAGCTCAGTAATGTACAAAACGAGCCCGACCTCCCATCTAACAGATGGGGAAGAAAGAGGCTAGCAGCCATAAGTGAAGAGCAACTGCGCGGGCCAGGCTTCCTCTCTCGCAGTCTCACTCCCTCAGGCCTTTTGCTCATCACTTCTCCCAAACTGACTGGCTTGGAAGCTCTCCCCTGGCCTAGGAGCCACGAGTTCCCCAGTTTGTGAGGCTTGTCACATTCCGAAATCTTACGGCTGCTATTATTTCTGCTGGAACCACCAAGACTCGCTTGGCCAAGTGGCAGCCCCTAGGCTGGGAAGGCTGCCAGATGACATATCTGGGCACGGACTTGGGGGAAGGGTAAGACTCTCCTAGCAGCACCAGGCCCCTGACCCCCAGCTGGGCTCACATGTGCCAGGGTGAGGCCTGGCAGCTGCTAACCAACTCTGTTGGTGACCTAGGTCAGCAACCTAGGTTACCCTGGGTCTGCTGTGTGACCCATGCCTCTGGGCACAACAGGAACCAGGTGTAGGGACTCACAGCCAAGGGACCAAAGACTAAGTGGGCCACTGTGCCTTCCCTCCCACTCCCCTCCTTTCTTCCCAGAGTGGGGATAGGCCCCTGCCTGTTCCCTGAACAGTGCCTGGAAGATGAGGGATTAAAAAATCTGAGTCCCAGCCCAGCCTCTCTACTTGGGTAACTCTGGACAGGCCTCGGGTCCCTCCCTCCTTCTCTTTCAGGGGTCTCTTTTATCTCTTGAGGTTATCATGAAAGTTGAAATAAGTAGCTGTTGAACTCATGCATAAATTAAGGAAAGTGTAAACATTGGAAAATATAAGATGTTAGAGTGGGGCCGGGCGCAGTGGCTCACACCTGTAATCCTAGCACTTTGGGAGGCTGAGGCAGGCAGATCACAAGGTCAGGAGATCAAGACCATCCTGGCTAACATGGTGAAACCCCGTCTCTACTAAAAATACAAAAAATTAGC